TCGTACACATGAAAAAATATTGATAAAAGTTGGTGAGTTGGTGAAGCTCTATAAGACGTTTTGGCATTGATTTGACTAATTGCGAAGGCATCCCGTAGCTAGCAGCAATGTGTCCGAAGCCGGAAAGCCAAGGTCACTGAGCTCCTTCTTCAGCTCCTCCACGGAGTATTTCGCTGAAATGGCCTCGAAGATGACACTATACGGAAGCCAATAATTGGGAGTGTGGGTATGGTGTTTGTACCCACGATGCTCCAGCAAGGTTTTCACCTTGTCTAAAACCCCCAGATTTTGAACTCTCAGGGAGTTTACACCCTTCTGTACCATGGTAAGGGCGAAGTCCCCGGAGTCGATGGCAGACCTCAGCATCGCCGTGACCCCCTTAACTCCAACGTCGTAGGTAGTGATGGATGACACTGCCGAGCTGATCGTATTCACCAGCCTGAAGACACGCAAGTCGCTCGCCTCCTCGCGTCCGCAATTATTACTCTTCTCCTTGCGGCTTTCCCTCTGCCGCTCGTTGCTGCTTACATAGATATCGTCGTTGGTTGAGGAGCACGACCACTGTTCGTCCTCCACTATGCGCCTCTCCTTGGCAGGTAGATGATCTTCCACGGTAGAGGTTATTCCACTTCACTTTTTTCGCTGTAGGAACTTCCTTGTTGACGGTCAGAACACAACTGACGGTCTACAAATACGCCGTATGCCATATGAATCCTTTAAATTAGGCATTAAGACCTCTGGAAACAGCAAAGTAGTCCATTTTGAACGTTTGAATTGAAATGAGGCCTGGCGAATTTATTTGTTGAATAATCCGACCTCTATTAAATTCTACGAATTCTTTGCCTTTTGGGTTGTCAATCATAGAATATTTTCGAACGCACTGTTCTCGTCGATCACTGCATAGCCGAGTTCGTCTTTGTAGCGTCTCCTGTCAACCTACACGTAATATGGCGACTCCTTACCAGTGCTTGCTAACCTCTTCCACTTTCGTAAAGTCTGGGGTTTGCTTTTAGAATTCCCTTCCATCACGAAATACTCCGATCCAACGTTCCTCCTTTTGGTATTAGAGTCTGCTCTTCGGGAGACCTAATCCTTTTCGCATATTCTGAGCAATTGAAGGAAAGGTGAACCTTAGTCTTACTCACTTACTCTGCCATATTATCGGCCTCTTCACTCCTCCGGCATTCTAAGACGGTAATGTCTGTCTTATGTATGATTTTGAGTCCCCGCCAGTCTCGGAAGGTTGGCTCGAGATTGTTCTTACCTTGTGGTTCTTAAACTCAGATCGTATTTTACCTGGAGCTAAAAAACCCACATCTGTAAGAGATGTTTGCACACGATCGCAGGTTGATGACGGGGCGTGACTCATGAGCAGATCAAAGACATCCGACAATACTGAGTTATTTATGTACTGCATCGTAACTTTGTTCTTTCTTCTTTGTACTTTCCACCATAGGGTGTAGTGTATATTCATTCCGTTTTCAACACCTTGAGACTCCACAAAGTCGATTTAAGCATATTCGTCTGTATGTCTGTTAAAATCGCGATAGATATCGTAATATTTACGGTAGAGCTCAGAAACTTTGCACAGGCATTGCTAGTTCTCTTAGGATGTTTGGCATTGCAAATGGGATATATCGGTTCAGGTTTTGATGTAGCCCCCCACATAAAGGTACACCCCGATATTCGGTATTTTGGGGATAATGGGCACTTACCCAAGTTTCAGGGTAGCCACCATATAACGTATCCCCAGTATTTCGTATTTTTCCACCGAATTGGCTGTAATTTTGTATTTTAGGTCCCCATTATGTAGCACATCACATTATCAAAAATATTAATATTCACTCAAGTTTCAGGGTATCCCCCATATAACGGGCTGTAAATAGGTATTTCGGTTATCACAACGGTACCACCACATTTCCACACTAAAAATTATTTATATTGACCCATGTCGGTATTTTGGAGAATTTTGGGCACGTTTTTCAAGCGAATTAGATTGTCATCCTCATGGTGGAGGGTATACTTGTTTATCTTACATATAGCCATGGCACAATAAAGGTATAGGTAGTCCATTTAGCGCAGCTGATGTCTCGATTAAATGTCGAAGTGCGCAATTTCTACTTGAATCCGATGTGCAATGTGGCCAACCATGTGAAATATTATAAGGAAAAAGGATAGGTGGTCGAGACAAAAACAAAGGTTTTTGTTTTGATACATCACCTTATTATCGCATCATGCATATAGCTTTATTTGACAACGCGTTGATTGGCAACGCATTGATTATTTCCTATTTCCATCACACTACTCCTGAATCTCAAAATTTGACAGACGGTTGAGACAAAAACAGATTTTTGATTTGATACATCACCTTATTATTGCATCATGCATATAGCCTTGTTTGACAACGATTATTTCTGATTACAATCACACTACGATTTGGTATGCATTCACTGCGATTTGGTATGCTCTTCATCGAAAAATTCTGGCTTTCGTATGTTGATATTCTAAATAGCTATTCGAACGCATTTCAATTAATTGTTGATATAGGGATATCTTTTGCTATAGCCCCCGGTATAGCGTTACATACATATTTCAGGATATTTTAATCAAGTTTCAAGTGTACGAGGTTTTGCATTTCGTATTCGAAATGCAAAAATATTGCCCCGCCGAGCATTTTCGTCAATGTTTAGAAACCAAATTTCCATATGAATTATAAAAATACACATTTGGATAATGAGACAGATAGACAAGCATCCATAATATCTTTGAAATTCTTCACTTTCATTTGTATTTATTGTATTCCCCTTAATACAGTTCGCGATTGGGCGAACTTAAAAATTTGGGCAAAACTGATAGTGTGTACTCCACTTTTTTGGAAATTATCAATTTTTGATCATTTGAAGTTATCGATAATTAATTATCAATTAGTTTGAAAACTAGGACTATCAGGATTTTTCAGTACGTAATTAGAGAATACGTTGTGAGTTGCCAAGTTGACACTCACAGCATATCAAATAATATGTTGCCTAAAAGTAGGCAATGTAATATGAACACACAAGCCATTGATGTTCCCCCTTTAAAAATGACTCACGTCTTTAGTACATCACTATTTAGGGTTAGCAATGCTCTCAATAAGAATAAATAATTGTTACAACAAAAATATCCACAAAAATGTCATAGAAGTGTAAAATTAAATTTACAACAAAAGCAAATATATTCTTAAAACCTATTTTATTTAAAATTAATATTTTAATTATGCAAATCACAAAACAAAACAAAAAAAGAATCAGCGCAAAAATTATGATTATGATTTAAACGGAAAATATTGAAATTATTGTCAAGAAGTTGATCTACGTTTTTTGGAAATGGCCTATTTAATTAAAACAGAAATTAAAAAAAAAATCTAAATGTGTTATTTATTTTAATTATATTTTTTTGTTATTTTCTTTCTTTCAAAATAAATGTTATTAAATAAAATAAATAAAAACTTTTTATATTTTTAATGCTAAGAAAACGTCAAAAAAAGAAAAACAATGGAAAAAGAGTGGCTTACAACAAGGCAAGAAAATAAAAATAATTTATTTATATATATGAAATGCATATATATACAATAAATTGTTTTTTTTATACATTTTATGTTAATATTTAATATGAATTTTTTTAAATAAAAAACTAAACAAACTCTGTGGAAAAACTTCTTGAAAATATTTATTATATAAAAAACAAAAAACACTTGGAATTAAATTATAAGGAAATTAAATATATATTCGGCTTAGTATATTCTTTTTGGAAAAATTACTTTTTTTGGTTTTGAATGACATCCCTTTGTATATGTATGTATATTTTGTACATATGTATGGGGGAAAATATTCATAAACTATAATCTAGAGCAAAAAAAAAACAAAACCTCATTTGGAACACTTCAAATTTGGCAGAGCAGTTAAATTATATTCAAAAAATTTTTTTAAATGAAAAATTTTATATTTTTGTCTATAATTTATTTTTTTCAAAATTTTTGTCTTAATCTAATTGTATTAAGAATGAAAAAAAATTATCATCTACGACAAACGCTCTTTTTTCACCATTTGTTTGTATATGTTATGTTTAAATAAAAAAAAATTAAAAAATATATATGAAACAAACGCGGTTTAACCAACACACACTCGCTAAGTTTTTTTTGGAAAAGTGCGTAAAAATAAAATAAAAAAAAAATACGAAACACACGTTTCTTTGACAGCGCCCAAACAAAAATCGAAATTCAACTTCTTGAGAAAAAAATAAGTAAATAAATGAAATAATAATTTAAAATATTAATTTTAAACAAAATAAAAGGATATTAGCACCACTAATAAACAACAACTACTTCTTAAGCAACAGAAACAACAACAATAACAACGTTCAGATATGAAAAATAAAATAAAAATAAACGCTGAAACACCCTCTTGTTTTTGCGAAAATTAAAAAAAAATAAAGAAAATCTATTTTTTTGTTCAATATTTAAAAAAAAAAACAAATCTATATTTTCTCTAGTATTTGAAATATTTTTTACAAATAAATCTTGGTATGAACTGAGTAAATGAATTACAACAATTACAATTACAAAAGTATAACCACATTCCAATACTTTTTTCCTTTCATTATAATTTTCCCACCACAAATGGACTTAGTTTTGAATTTGAAAATCCCCCTTAATTTCCCATTTTTTTAAATAAATATAGATTTTTTGTATTTGTTTTTTTCTAAGACTTAATTTTTCTGTTTCCACTCTCCTTTTTTAATTTTTTTTATAAGAAATTTTAAAAATTGAAAATTTATTCTATAAAATATTTTTTTTCTATAAAAATCGTTATTTTTGAAATTAACGACAAAGAAAACGAAGAAGAAGCTTAAAAAAGAACTTTGTATTTCAAAAAAAAGAAATTTCGAAACTCACAAAAAATCAAAATTAAAAAAACAAAACTGAAAAAAAACGATGAAGAAAAAGAAGTTGATGTTTGGATTTTTGTTTGGTGTTGTTGCAGGAAACGTCTGAATCGCCACATGGCTTAGGCTCTGCTGGCATTTCCAATGCCGGTGGCATTGGTGGTGGGTCCATTGGCAGTGGTGGTGTGGGCGGTGGTGCTGGCAGCAGTAGCCTCTGTCCCAGTGCCTCATCGTCCATCAACACTGCCTCCTCCTCCAGTTACATGCATGATCATCCGCGTACACCACCACCCTATTCCTGTGTTTATTGTGCTGCCGGTTTCCCCACGCAGAGTAAATTGACACGCCATATTCTGTCGCATTCGCTAAAGACATTGGAATACCGTGAAAGCGCCGCCACCCATCCCCTCTTACATCCGCACCTGTTGACGCACGACTTAAATATGTCACCGTTAGCATACCAAATGAACGCGGCCATGGCAGCCACAGCCGCCGGGGGTGATCCCCAGGAACAGGCGGCTGCCGTTGCCGCCATGGCCATGGATATTGATTTTGCCGCCGCCATAGCAGCGGCTGGTGGTTGTGCTTTTTCCTCGCTTGCCAGTTGTACGGGTCGTGGTTTGGATCTCGATGGAAGTGGTGGTGCCGGCGGCGGCGGCGGAGGTTCTTCGTCATCGGGACGTGGCTGCCGTGATTCAAGAGGCGGTGCTGGCGGTGGTGGTCGTGGCAGTGGTCTGGACGATGATAGTCGCACCTCATCCGGTAATGGTGGTTGTCCCTCGAGCAGTCTATCGCTGTTAAGTGGCGCTGGTTCGTCAACATCGGCTGCAGCGGCGGCGGCCGCAGCTGCTGCAGCAGCAGCCAGTTCATCGGCCTCATCGCTGCTTGGTTCGTCCGCAATGTCGTCCAATGATCCGAATAGTGTTGTTCTATGTAAATTCTGTGGTAAGAGTTTTCCCGATGTTACCTCACTCATACAACATTTGCCGGTGCATACCGGTGATCGGCCGTTTAAGTGTGAATTTTGTGGTAAAGCGTTTAAATTGCGTCATCATATGAAAGATCATTGTCGTGTTCATACAGGTAAGTGTTGCGGAAATTTTGTTTTATTATCATTATTTTTTTCATTCTTTATTTCAATAATGAAACAGAAAGAAATTGTGAATTTTGAGATAAAAATTTGAGATTTTTCTCTAAGGCTAAAAATTTAATAAAAGTGTACTAAAAGTGGTACCATTTGTATTTGGCGAATCGGTAGAGCTAGAACTCTTAAATTTGAAATGAGGCTAATTGGTAGAGATTTTGGAAATTCGAACTATAAGTATCCGAAAAGTACTAAAATGTACTAATTTGTTTAAACACAAATTTAGTACAAAATGTACTAAAATTGTTACAATTTCGTTGCATGTGAACGGGCAGAGCTAAATATTTGAAATTTGGAATGCGAATTAAGGTTGAGAAGTAGGGTCGATATGAAGAGGTGGGAAGTGTGTACTCAGGTACACGAAAAGTACTAAACGGTACTAAATTTGGTACAATTTGAAATTAACATTATCGTCGGATTGTAGAGTTGGGATATCCCGATAATTTTGTTTAAGAAGTAGGGCCGATATAAGGAGGTTGTTTTGGAAGAGTGTACTCCTGTATACGAAAAGTACTAAATTTGGTACAATTTTAAATTAACATTACCGTCGGAGTGTAGGGTTGGGATATGTAGATGATTTTTCTTTAAGAAATAGGGTCGATATAAATAGATGGTTTTGGAAGTGCGTACTCATGTATACGAAAAGTACTAAACGGTACTAAATTTGGTACAATTTGTATTTGGATGAACAGATGGAGCCGGAATCTGGAAATTTGAAACTAACATTACCATCGGAGTATAGGATAGGGATATGTAGATAATTTTGTATTTGTGTACCTTAGTGTACGAAAAGTACAAAATGGTACTATGTTCAGTACAATTTGGATTTGGGCGAATCGATAGAGTTTTCATACAGAGAATTGGAAAGAAGATTACTACTGCATTATAGACTTGAGATATGTAGGTAGTTTAGGAAAATCGTACTAATGTACTCTAAATGGTACTAAATTTGGTACAATTTGAATTTTGGGTGAACCGATAGACCTGTAATCTTAAAAATTGAAGTAAGGATCGCTGTTGGAGTGTTGTTTTGGAAATTCGTTCTAATGTGTAATAAAGTAGTTTTGGAAATTCGTACTAAATCGTACTAAATTTGGTACAATTTGATTATATATGTAAACCGATAGAGCTGGAATTATGAAATTTTTTGTTAGGATCAGGTTTGGGGTGTAGGATTGGAATATGTATAGTTCTGGAAATTTGTACTAATGTGTACTAAATGGTACTAAATTTGGATTTAAGTGAACCGGTAAGGCTAGAATTCTAAAAATGGGAAATAAGGTTTATATTTGTTTTATGATATAGGTAATTTATTTGGAAATTCATACTAATGTGTACTAAATCGTACTAAATTTGGTACAATTTGAATTTTCAGGTAAACCATTACATTTGGAAATTTGGAATTAGGATCGCTGTTGGGGTGTAAAATTGAGATATGTAGGAAGTTTTGGAAATTCGTACTAATGTGTACTAAATGTGATACAATTTGGAGTTAGGGTTAACCAATCGGGCTGGAATCCTGAAATTGGGAAACATAATTTAAATTGAAGTACTTATTCTTATTATTATTTTTTTGGGAAAGCGATAGAGCTGGAATCCTAAAATTTAGTGTTAGCATCACTGTTGAAGTGCAGGATCGTGATATGTAGGTATTTTTGGAAATTCGTACTAATGTGTACTAAATTTGGTACAATTTGGAGTTAGGATGAACCGATCGAGCTGGAATTCTGAAATTGAGAAATATGATTTGTATTGGCTATATGATATGGACAGTTTTACAAATTTGTACTAAATGGTACGAAATTTGGTACAATTTGAATTTTGGTGTAAGTCGATAGAGCTGGAATCCTGAAATTTGTTGTTAGGATCACTTTTGGGATGTAGGATTGGGATATGTAGGAAAGTTTGGAAATTTGTACTAATGTGTACTAAATTTGGTTCAATTTGTAGTTAGAAGAAGTCAAAACATCCGAATGATACGAATCAAGACTTCACGGCGAGCTTGCTCCTTTACACAAGAGACCCCTAGCAAGAAATTTACTATATTTATTAAAAATACATACATGTTCGCTACGTGAACAAAGCTATTATTATATTCGTGTGCCGACAGTACTCGTGAACAAATCTATTATAATCGTGTGCCGACAATACCCGATAGTATCCGATAGCAAGATTTCTTTCTGTTTCTTGTATGTTTTTGTTTTTTTTTTTTTAATTTTTTTTTCTTAAGAGCTATATATCTGAAATATGTATCTTGATCTTGATTTAGGTGAACGTCCATTTCGATGTCAAATGTGCGGCAAGACATTTTCACGATCAACGATATTGAAGGCGCACGAAAAAACTCATTTTCCCAAATATGCCCGGAAATATTTGACCCCAAGTCCGGTGGATACAAAAGATGAGTTGCCGCAATAGTGAAACGATTTTAGTTTATTATTAAATTATTATTATTATTACTATTATTATTATAATAATAACAATTATAATATAATAAACCAAAATAATAACAACAACAATAATGGCAACATCATCAGCAGCAACAACAATAATATTAATAATAATAATAATAATAACAACAATAATACCTACAATTACAACAATGTGAATATTAAAAATGACTATGATAGCATACCACAACAACAACAACATCAAGAACCATCACCACCACCAGCAACACAACAACAACAACCACAGCAACAATATCAGTATCAGTATCAACAACACAACTATTACTAAAACAAAACAGTTGTTACTGATTTGAACGTGAAAACGGGGGAAATTTGTGATATTTGGTGGAAATTTTCCCAAAACTGAAATTTTTCCCATTAAGGGAAAATATTGTAAAAAAAGTGAATTTTTTATATATATGTAACCCAACTGTATAGAAGACCCTTTAATTACGCATCAAAGGAAAACAAAATGATTTTAAGAATATTTTAATTCAAAATCGGGGAGAAGAAAAATTAATTTAAAAACTTCAGTCCCCCGCCTGAAACCCAAAAAAGAGACCGACCGCCTCTCCCCCTTATGGGATTTTAGTGAAGGAACGTGTAAAGGAAATAAGAATATCAATTGAAAGAAAATAAAATTTAAATCCAATAAGACACGAGAAAACTAAGAGTTGAATGTATAAAATACATACAAACAAATATATACTTATTATATATACATATATATAGAGTATATGCAAGGATTATACATGGATTTTTTTTTTTTTGTAATAAAAATTGCCAAACAAAAAAAATTATATATCTATATTTAGAGAAACTGAAAGAAGAAGATGCTGAATACATATTGAAATTTATGCCTACATACATATATATATAGAAGAAGATCAATATATATATATAGAAAACCGATAAAGACAAACCAAAACTGTTTCACACACACACAATATGACATTAGGATTTATAGGCAAAAATAATATTTAAAAGTAAAGACAATGAAAAAAATAAAAACAGAATGCTTTAGCAAACACTCCCTCCTGGCTTAAAACAAAGAGAAAAAAATAGGCGGACAAGACCTGCTAATAGATAACAAATTATATATCATTTAGAGACAAAAACCAATAAAATTTGCTAAACAAAAAATTGTTTACCTAATTTCCTATTGTTATGTTGTGTTTTAAAAAAATATCAAAACCAAGATTATTTTTTTTAAACAAAAAATCCGATTGAAATCTTTCGGAAAAGTCTCACTGTATTTTCGCAATAAATCAGCAATGTTGTATACAGGCAGAAAAAAAATATATAATGGAAATTTTCGGCATAAAAATATTCCATAAAAAATATTTTTTTTTAATTTTCATTCAAACAAAAAAATATAAGAAAATTAAGTGAAGTGTAAATATGAAAAAACATTTAAGATTCTCAAAATCAGGTCTCCAACATCAACTAAAAAAATTAAATTTTTTTCAAAAAAAGATCAACAAATCAAATAAAAATTAATTTTATTTTTTTTTCAAAAAAGTCGAAAAAAATCCAATAAAAAAATGAAAATATTATATTTTGGGGATTTTTAAGATGATTTAAGGGGACGCCCCCCCCCCCATTCTCGGGGTTACTTCTTAATTCGAATCTACACTAATTCAAGAATGTCCCTACAAAATTTCAAATGAAAATCTTAAGAACTGTTGAAGATATAGCCGATTTATTCTGTCAGAATCAAGTGACGGCTGAAGGGCTTCTCAAACTTTAAACGCGTTTTTCTCTAAACGAATGGCGGGCACGATAACTCAAAAACTAATAACCCAATCGATTCCAAAATTTTTACACGTGTGAACTAGGATAAAGCCAATCGGTGAAGAACTTCCCTATTTTTTGACTTGGTTTTTGGTCAAAAATCGGTGATTTTCCAAAAATATTTTTTTAAAGTCCGCTATTTTATTAGTTTTAGAGCGAAGTCAATAATCCTAGTTCATACGAGAGCCAGACATGTACTCTTTCTAACACCGTTGGAATTTTCGGATTCCGATGTTATCATGCCCGCCATCAACCATAAGGACTTTTCTTTAATCACAAAAAACAACAAGAAAACAACAACATACATTTTTTGTAAATTATTTTTCTACTCTTTTACATCTTCAAATATATATATGCAAAGTTGCAGCCCTTTGAAAATCTTGAAAAATTAAAATCGAGAATGCAATGAACACTTTTCAACGGTAAAAAAATACAAGAAAACATTAAAGAAAGATTTAAAAATAATTTTAACATTTGCAAAAAAATATTTTGAGGTAGCTCTTTTGGATGATTTAATTTAAAATTAGAAAAATCCTTGGCCATTTATTAAAGCCCAAAATACAAAAAAAAATTCCGTAAATTTTCGTTATGAAATTATTTTCCTAAATCTCAGAAAAAAAATTTAAAATTTCTTTACCCACTTCAATTTTTCAATAATTTCCAATATAAAACCCTTGCACGTGAAAGCAATTTAAGCAGCAATGGATAGAGGATTACATTTTCAACCCAATCCAACTTTAATATTTTTTAAAATCAATTCTCAATGCCCCCCCCAAAATACCAAATAATATTGAGTATAATTAAAATTAATAATACTCATACGACACCTGTGTCCATTGTATTAAAATAACTCATACGAGACCTTGGTCATGAAAGTGAAAATCTGTGGTTTTTCATATTTTCTCTTCATTTAAATGTTAGCAGACTAAAAATCCGTAATAAAAAAATGTAGGCATACAAAAAAATAACTTAAAAAATTCAAAACACGTGTTTTCATTTTTTAATACATATATTCTTTTTTTAAATAATACCTATACTCTATTTTTTTAAGTATGTACACACAGACACATATATATATATATATATAGACACAAAACGTATTACTTTCAACAAAATAGCAAACGATCTCATGTGATCCAATGTTGTTTATTTATTATAAAATTTTTTTCATCATCAAACATGATAGAAAAAATTAAGAACAACAACAATAAACAATGACACAGCATACAAGAATTTCAATTGGTTGTTACTAAAGTTATTAATATTTAAACAAAAAATATATAAACCTTAACAATTACATTCACGTTAAAATCATACATATGTAAGTAAATAGTCTTATAGAAATATTTTTTTTTTATTTTAAATATTTAACCATAACATAATGTTTGTTTTCTTCATATTAACTTATTGATTTTGTTTGTTAGTTTGTTTTGTAAAAAAAAAGAAATAAATAAAAATAACCATAGTTAAAATTTATTACAAGATCGATCCCACATGAAAATGAAATAGTTAAAATACTAATAATAATAACAAACAATAATTAAATAGAATTGGTGCTATCCTACAGTGAAATAACTCCTTATTTTTTCTACATACCTACCTACATAAAGAATACCTTCTTTTTAAATAACAACAATAAATGACAACAATAGATTTTTTTCTAAACAAAACAAACATAAGCAATATACAACAACAACAAACAATAGCCTTCTTAAAGACAAATGAAAAAACGACAACAACAACAGAAAATTTGTTTTCAAATATTCACCATTAAAACAATGTTTTTTTTTTGAAGGAAAATTATTAACAGTAAAAACATAGAAGCTACGAAAAAAAATAATTATTTTTATAAAACCGGTTATTCGGTTCACCAAAACCGGTTACTCGGTTCACCAAAACCGGTTATTCCGTTTAACAAATCCAATTACCAAGAGTACATTAATTGAAATTATTCGGTTTAACTTAGACAACAATTCACTATACAATTATTCGTTGTAGTAAAACCGAGTATACGGATTATAAATACCCGATTACTCGCTTTTCGAAAACTTAATTAAACGAACTATAAATAAATTAAATTCAATATAATTTATCGGTCTTATTTGAATTGATTAATCATTAACAAAAAAATGGTTACTCGGTTAAAAAACCCGGTTACATTATCCATAATGGAAATTATTTGGTGCAACATAGCCAACGATTATTCATATTGTTACAATTGGTTATTTGGTTAATAAAACCCCTCCTTGCTATATCTTCAAAAATTTAATTACTCGATTAAAAAAACCAGCTACCTTGTCCATAATGGGAATTTTTTTGGTTCAACATAGCCAACGATTGGTCGTTTTATTAATATCGGTTATTTGGTTACTTCGTTGAAAAAAATATTCGGTTTCAACATCTATTTTTCAATTTACCAAAAAAAAAATTTTGTCGAAGATATTTCAGTACGAATTATTCTATTTACCTAAACCGCTTATTCGGTTTTGCCAAAGTCGATAAATTTGTTTACTAAAAATCGATTATTATTTCGATAAAAATGCGAAAACAGCAGATCCCTTTTTTCAAGTTTATTGTCAAAAAATTCGTCAATTCACAATAATTGATTTTTACAGAAAAACTTAAAAACAGCTGATTAACCCCAAGAAAACAAAAAAACAGCTGATTATACAACTTGCCCGAGACCTATTTATACAGTCACTCAAAAAGCAAACAAGAACATGTGATTTTTCTCGTTTAATGTCCAACAACTTGGACGTTGTTTACGTTTCCAGAATGTGAAGTCAATTTACAATAATGGATTTTGACAGCAAACTTGAAAACAGCTGATTAATAGGCCTTGTCCATAGCCTTTTAAGTAGATCACCCAGAAAGCAAAAAAGAACAGCTGTTTTTCCATCTGTCTAATGTTAAAAAATTTGGACGTTGTTTACGTTTTCATAATGTGAGGATGTCAAACATGAGAACAGCTGATATGCACTCGAATTTTCCTGGATGAATATATAAATAGGCCTTGACCAAGCTCTCAGCTTGAAATGCTAGCTGTTTTATCGATTACTGACTATCAAACAATCAGGAATATTTTCGTGGATGCCTGTAACTGAGGTACACACTGTCAAACAAGCAAAATTTTTGACAAACTGCTATTTAAAAATGATAGAGGGTACACCGCTTAAGCATACTACGCACTATCCATTTCGACTGTCAGCCAGGAATATGTTGGTGAATGACGCTACTGAATGGTGACGCTATCTGTCACATTAACCCTGGACCAAAATAACTTTCAAAAGAGAAAA